TAAGGCAGCCCCACACTGGTCTGATCACCAGAGAGCAAGAGACAGAGAGGTGGGGCTCACCGAACCATTTATCTCTTTGCCCTCCAATCAAACTGCAACCTTATTAATCCCACATGTTCTTATTGGCCAGGTTGGCACAGGAAACCTGCCTATCACAGCACCTAACAAGAGCAACAATAACAAAACTGCAAACATTGTTCTACTGGGAAATTCAGTGTTGCTCAATGTGCCATTTTCTCCCATGTTTTCTCTTCTGTTCTCCCACAGCATATTTGCAACGGCTATTTATTTATCTTAAACATGAACATACAATGAAGTACCTTCCTCATTGGGCTATAGAATCCTTCGAGACCTTGTCTTTTACCTTGCTGTGTTCAGAGGGCTAGTAAAGAAAGGTTTTCAAAAATGGAACAGCTATAACCAAGAACCTAGAAAAATAAAGCCTTCACTGGTCTTACCACTGTCTTCTCCCTCTGCCCTACATCATGATCCACCCTTCCCCCACCACAGGTTCTTAGATCACTGTAAGTTCCTGGTATGGCTTGAACCGAAATGGAGTCAGAAAGTGAGTGATTGTACCCTTGTTGAAATGAGTGAGTGAGTCCACTTGTTGAAATTTAACCCAGGATTGTTTCCATTCACTTTTACAATAAAATGACATCGCAAAAAAAGTTTTTAAAAGAGAATTTAACAAATTGCATTCTGTATTCCCCACAGGGAAATCATAAAACGGCTGGCTGCTTTCAGTCTCAGAAGTTACCTTTTTGGAAATCACTGCAGACCAAGCAGTGAGTTGCTCTTTGCTTAGGAGATACTTGCGGATCAGAGTCCAGTACTGAGGAGGAGGCATTTCTGAGGACAAATATTTGACAGAGAGGAACTTTAGACAGACTTTGGTCGTCCTGCTCAATCATTACCTCTGAGAACAGCTAGATATTTGATCTATACCAACTTGAGGAAGCTGCTTCCACTGCTCCCCTGTAGTCATGACATTGGACCCATCGAAGAGAAAGGAGTGTCAGGACCTTACTAACACCATATGACTTACTAAGAAGAGACACTTGTTTCCTTTGAATTTATCTACATCGAGTCATTGCTAGCTCTACTTGGGGATTCCATGGTCACCCTCAATGGGATTTCAGGACCTCCTGCATCAAGTCGGTGGCCAGGGGAGGTTCCAGGTTCTCCAGCTGGCTTTCCTTTTTATCTCCAATGTCCTAGTGATCCAGCATCTTCTGTTGGAGAACTTCACTGCTGCCATCCCCGGCCACCGCTGCTGGGTCCCCATCCTTGACAACGACACTGTCTCTGATAATGACACTGGGATCTTCAGCCACGAAGCCCTCTTGAGAGTCTCCATCCCACTGGATTCGAACCTGAAGCCGGAGAAGTGCCAACGCTTCCACCAACCCCAATGGCAGCTCCTTCACTTGAATGGGACTTCCCCCAAGGCAAGTGAGCCAGACACAGAGCCCTGTGTGGATGGCTGGGTTTATGATAAAAGCACCTTCCCCGCAACCATCGTGACAAAGGTAAGGGGCACCATTTTCCTCCTGTGAGTTCATGAGGTGGGTGCTGAGAAGTAACACCAGTAAGGGGCTAAAAGGCACGATGCTAATTTCGTTCTTCGTTCTTTCAACAAGTATTGATTGCTTACCTATTAATTGCTAGGCATGTGCAGATGATCGGATTGATAAATTAAAGCATGGACACAAACGCTACTGTCCCAGTGCTTTTTTTCCAGTGGGGGTGGGGGGCCGGGACAGCGGCAATATTTAAGTAAGCCATGTACACAACATCGCATGAAAAGTTGTATACTGCATCCGTAATGCTAACCTTGCTGGCAAATTAGAACTATCAGGGGGGAGAGTGACAACATCTCCAGGCTCAGACTGCACCCCAGAGGAGTCCTAGAAGCTACTCTGGGGGGTAAAAATGAGGCATTGCTAAGATCTCGAAGCTCCTCTTGATTTCAAAGAGCCCGGGCAGCATGGTGGGTTATGCCTTGGGCTACAGCGGTTCAAAGCCACCAGCTGCTCCCGAGGAGAAAGATAAGCCTTCTGGGAAGAATCAGCATCCCCAACACAATGGAGCAGTTCTGGGCTGCCTTATAGGGCCGCAGTGCATCAGAGTGGACTTGGTGGCAAAGTGTTTGACTTTTTCGTCTACTGATGTCATCGCATGGCCAAGATGGAGAACCATTTTGTGTCAAGTACAACATGATGATGAAGACGGGGATGTAGTGTAGCCCCTCCGGTGCAAGCGAGTCTTCTTAGAGAAAGAGATGCTGACGCTCAGCATTGCTTGATATAGGTCAACGAATGTCATAGAACGTCAGCCCGATGGTGAAAGCGCTAGGCTGCCAACTAACAGCCTGGCATTTGGAAGCACCTGTGGCTCCTCCGGAGAACGATGGGACCATCTGCTTCTGGAAACATCTACAGACGGGGAAACTCCATGGGGAAGTTCTACTCTGCCAGACAGGACTGCTAGGAGCTGCACTTCCCTAGGAGGCAGTGCATGAAGGGAAGCTGTCGAGGGGCATAAACTCAACCACCCTGCCAAGTGCGTCCCGATTCCTAGCACCCCTGTCAAGGACTTCTGGGCTGAAATCATTATGGAAGCAAGCAGCCTCATCTTCCTCCTGCAGAATGGCTGGTGGGTTTGAATCCCTGACTCGGTGGTTCACAGCCCAAGGCCCAACCCACAGCACCTGCGGGACTCCTTGAAGAGGAACACAGGGGGCAGATACACTGCCATTTGCCAGCCCCGTAAGGTGTGTGCAACCGGTTCCCCTTGAAGTGTTAGAAGCTGTGGCGAAGCACTTTAGTGCTAGTTTCCTTCTCTTCCAGTGGGACCTGGTGTGCGAATCTCAGGCACTGAAATCCGTGGCTCAGTTCCTGTTCATGACTGGAACACTGGTGGGAGCGCTGGTGTGTAGCCATCTCTCAGACAGGTGAGTGTCTCTGCAATAGTTTACGTTCTTTCTTTTTAAAAAAAAGATGTTTTACTGTGTTTGGGTGAAAGTGTGCATAGCAAATTAGGATCCTATACAATTTCTATGCATAGTGTTCAATGACATTGGCCACATGTTTCACGTTCTATCAACACTCTTTTCTTTCTTTCAGTGGTTTCACTGATAGGGTATCCACACATCATCCACCTGCGTGGCTGAACCGTTCTGAAAATGAGTTGCGTAGGCATCATCACAATCAGTTCCAGTGCTCGCTCCCGCTGCTGGATTCCTTGTTTGTTCCCCAGATCCTCTTACCCTCCCTATCTCCACCCCCCACCCCCCCAAGATCCCTGATGAACCATTGCGTCGTTTTTTTTCTCTGTGCATCTACTGTTGTGCCTCACAAACTGGGGACTCCAGGAGGAACGATAATCAAAAACAAAACCCAAACCAAGAAAAAATGGCAAGAATAAAAGAATAACGATATAAAAAATACAAATACAAGTAAAGAGTGAGAAAGAAAAGGCCACCGTCAATAGTTTAAAAGCCAGGGAAGACATGTTTGTCATGGAACAAGCAAGAGGTACTTGAGCCTGGAGCAAATTCAGGTTGGGCCAAGATAGAGGTCACCTGACCAAGTGCCAAATGATACCACGTGGAACAGTTTGCTTAGGACGCAATCTTCCATCAAGAACCCTTTACTGCGGATTATGCTGTCTGAGAACTGCTCTTGTGCCCAAGATCTAGACACAGGCAAAGGAGCGTGATGGGGGTCGGCAAGTGCTCCTTCTGTGAGAATCGAGTGCTGTGTACAGGAGGACAGGTAAAGATGCCTTCAGGAGGCCTGGAGGTGGTTCAGGTCAGGACTTAGCGAGAAGGACATGCATGTGACGTGGTTTATAAACGAGCTCAAGTTCCCTCTGGGGACAGACAGGGGGATGTTTCCCAACAGGGAGTTCGGCCTGTGAGTATTTGAAGACAGACATAGAGAAGAACAGTATAGACCTTGGACTGGCTGTTACGCTAAGTCCCTGCTAGATCCTTGAGCTGAATGCTGTGGCCATCTGCAGACTGGCCATCAGGTGATAATGGCCCGTGGGTGGGGTGTGTGGCAAGGTGTCATTGGTAGTATTAATATATATATTGGTAGTATTTATATATATATATAGCTAACCCTGGTTTTGCTCTTACTGAAACGGCTTCTTCAAGCTAAGTTTTGTAACCAGCTAAGATCATTCATTACAGGACATTTTTTCGCATGGTTTGTGGTGTGAGGAATTTGAGGTATCCTATAGTTGGCAGTGCCTTTACTGAAAGGTTGTTGGGTGCCATGCAACCAGTTCTGAGCTGTAGAGAGCCTATGCACAACAGAGCAAAAACCACCCGGCCCTGCACCATCCTCATTCTTATGCTTGGGCCCATTTGTCGCAGCCATTGCATCAATCGGTCTCTCTAAAGGTCTTCCTAATTATTGCTGCCCCTCCTTTTTACCAAGTATGATAGCCTTTCCCAGGGACAAGTTTCTTCTGAGAACATGTCCAAAATACCTGAGACAAAGTCTCACCATCCTTTTGTTCTGGATTTGCTTCCTCCAAGATAGATCTGGTAGCAGTCCATGGTACATATCCTGCTCTCAACCAAGATACATCTGACGTCAGCAATGATGTCCCTTATTCCATGTCCTCTTCTGAATCTGGCTTAAATTTCTGCAGCCCCCTGTCAATGTATGGTTGCAAACGTTGTTGGGTGAGCTTCAGAAAAATTGTATTAACACGTGAGATTAATTATACTGTTTGTTCTCCACATGTCCACCTTCTGTGGGATCACCTTTCTTTGGAATAGGTACAGATATCGATCTCTTTTAGTTGAATGGTCAGGTAGCTGTCTTCCAAACTCCTGAAAGAAGCATGTAATTACTATCACCATCCAAATATGTCTCCCATGAAGGAATTGAGGGACTTCTAGGAGAGAGATGGGGGACCTTTAAATCCACCACCTTCACATTAACTGTCGTCTCAGCTGGAAACTGTCCACACAGAATACATCACAGTAATTGTAACTTATACAAGATTTTAAGGTAGGAATGTTTCTTTTAACCATTCATGCAACCCAGTGTTCTCTGATGGTGTCTTTAATGGAGTATAAGGTGTTTGAAATGTGGAGAGGGGTCAATGGCAGAAGAGGACGGCGGAGTGTCACATGAGGTTGAAAGGTCTCTGATGATATGCTAATCTAAGGACCTAAAACTACCAGAAACCTAAGAGGAAACACAAATTATATGCAAAGGAAGTGCATGGTTAAATGATATTTTTGAAATTGTGTTCAATTATTGATACTATATTCCAACTGGAAACATGTAAAAGTCCATAAACAATTGCACGGATAAATAAAATACAGAATATTCACGTGATGGATTACTATACAATGAACCAACATTAAAACATAGTTGCACAGCTAAAGATGATACCCTGATATATTGAGCATGACAAGCCCAATACAAATGATCACGTGGCCTTATGTAAAGGTCAAAACCAAGCAATAGATTCTATAGTTCTGGAGTTAGAAGAATGATTCTCTTGAGAATATTTATTGAGATTGTGCTAAATAGATCAATTTGGGTAAGAATGCCATCTTCAGAAATAGAATTTTCTGATCTTTGATTTGATTTATGTTTTTTCCCTCCCTTGTTCCTTTTTGGGCCTGTAACTTATTTGTAAAAGCCATGAATTTTTATGTCCAATTTCTTTCATAGGTACATTTTGATGCTATAGAACTTTTTATTATACATTTAATCTATAATTAATTATTAGTAATATATAGAAGTACAATTTACCATATATACTCGTGTATAAGCCCAGTTTTCCAGCACATTTTTAATGGCGTTTTTGTGGTAAAATTAGGTGTCTCGGCTGATATTCGGGTCGGCTTTTATTGGAGTATATAGAGTAGCTCATATCCTGCTACCTTGATCAATTCATCTATTATCACATCACTTGTAAGTAGGGACACGTTTATTATTTTCTCACCTTTTGCCTTTTATTCTTTTTCTAAGACCTTCAGTACAATTTAAATGGAAGTGGGGAGAGCTAGTATCTTGTCTTGTGTCTGATATTATGCATTGAGCATTTTACTATCGAGTATGTTAGTTATATGATGAGGGTTGTTGTTAATGTAACTATCTACCAGTGTCTCTTGACCCATCATGAGTAACAACGAGTCCTTTCCCTTTTCAACCCCACATTAAACAATTTCCTTCCTTTGAGAACTCCCTATAGCTTCTTCTCTCTCTGACAGTGGGCAGATTTGGGTCATATTCTATATGAAGTAGATTGCCCAAGGCCCCTAGTACTGTGCAGATGGAGCAAAGGGGCATTGGGTGTTTTGAAACATTGCTTGATGGATGTTTCTTTCACATGAATTAGCCTTGAACTGCATAGTCCTAGAGACCCAAGTACACATTTAGCTTCCGTGTGTTCTAGAAACTATACAGACTTGCCACAATGCTCAATGCAAATGTGAGAACAGAGCCATTTATAGCCTGTTAAAATCTCTATTGTGCTCATGTGAACCTGTACATGGTTCAAGAGGCAGTTGTTTGAACAGAACAAGGGAATACAATCAAGAAAGCCATACTTTCCTCTCACATACTTATTCAACGTATATGCTGAGCAAATAATTAGAGAAGCTGGTTTATATGAGGAAGAATGCTACATCAGGGTTGGAGGAAGGCTTATTAACAACTTGCTATATGCAGATGACACAACCTTGCTTGCTAAATGTGAGAAGCACCTGTTGATAGAGATCAAGGACTGCAGCCTTCAGGATAGCTTACAACTCAGTGTACAGCAAAAAAAATTCTCACAACTGGACCAATAGATAACATCATGATACATGGAGAAAAGATAGAACTTGTCAAGAATTTTATCTTGCATGGGAAATCAATGCCCATGGAAGTAGCAGTCAAGAGATCAAATGACCCATTGCATTAGGTAAATCTGCATAAGATCTCTTCAAAGTATTGAAGAGCAAGGGTGTCACTTGGAAGACGAAGGTGCACCTGACCCAGGTGATGGTATTTTCCATTGCCGCATGTGCCTGGGGCGGTTGGACATTGAATAAGGAAGACCCAAGAAGAATCGGTGCATTTGAATTATGGGAAGTACCACGAACTTCCAAAAGGACAAACATCTGTTTTGGAAGAATTACAGGCAGAGTACTCCTTAGACGTGAGATTGGTGAGTTTTTTTGTCTCAGGTACTTTGGACGATTCTATCAGGAGGGCACAGTCCCTGGAAGAGAACACCATGCTTGTTAAAGCAGAGGGGCCGCAAAAAAGGGGCAAACTTTTTGGAGAGACGAGGCTGCCATGACAGACTCAAACCTAACCATTGTGGGGATGGTGCAGGGACAGGTGGTGTGTTTTTCAACTACAGGGTCGCTCTGAGTCAAAACCAACCGGATGGTCCTTAACAATCCCCTCCACCACAGCAAGCATAACCTTTCTAATTCTGTAGCCTATCATAGGTAGTTTCTCTTGGCGTCAGAGACTCAGCAAAGAACAGATGGGCATTTGTGTGTACTCAGTGTCCAAAGACAACCCGGGCTGTTGTTTCTGAGACCATCTGTGGTGAATTTCCCCCTCTTGATTCTTCCAATCTCAAGTGTCCGGTGTTACTTGGAAAAACACGCTCTAGAATTCAAAGTGTGCTTCGTTTTTGCTAAAATTGGCGACACTTTCCCTGTTCCTATATCTAACCTCTCTGTTTGTTAGGTTTGGGAGGAGGCTGATTCTCAGATGGTGTTTGCTCCAGTTGGCGGTTGTTGACACGTGTGTGGTCCTGGCTCCCTCCTTCCCCATTTACTGCTCGCTGCGCTTCCTGGCTGGGCTTTCTACCACAACCGTCATTACAAATAGTGTTTTGCTCAGTAAGTCTATCGTTTTCAATGTTCTAAGCCTTGGCTTTGACCTCGAAATTCCACTTTATTTAAAATGTGAAACTCTTGTTTCTCTTGCTTTTCAGTCCTAGAATGGTCAGTGCCCAAATTCCAGGCCACCGGCGTGACACTGACGTTTTGCTCTTACAGTATCGGGCAAATCATCCTGGGAAGTCTGGCATTTGCCATTCGAGAGTGGCAAACCCTCCAGCTGGTGGTGTCTGTACCATTTTTCGTCCTCTTCTTGTCCTCGAGGTATGGCTTTTTTCTCTTCTTTCGTCTTAGAGGAACCTCAGATGAAGTCTAAGAGGCTTCAAAAGTTCAGAGAAAAGTTCCATAATTTTTTTCATCTCACTTTCACCCACGAACTTCTTAAAGCCCTCTTGAGTACATAGACTCAGTATCCGTGGATTCTGTTTAGTCTTCGGCCAAGATGGAACACGCGGTTTCTTCGTGCCTACCAATGGAAGGCATACTGGATGGCTTCAATCGTGTCTCTGTCCTCCTCGTCCCTTTAATATTCTAAATAAGCATTAAGGATGGGCAACAATACCCCTCCCCTTGAGATGACTGGCTCAGTGGAAGGACCTGTTCAATTAGAAACGATTCTCTCTCGGGGAAGAGTGGAGCGATTTCCTACAAGAAGATGATTCCAAATGAGAAAGAGGGAGTATTCCATGTTAGGCTCATCCATGATCTCATTACATCCTCCTGAGCACCCTGCCCGACAGGTGGGACTCGCTTCTGTCCAATTTCATACGCTAGAAAACGGAGGCAGATTTAGCGAAATACCGTGTTTCTATAGAAAGTGTCCATCATTGCTAATTGGGGTAGGAGTGAACTCAGGCTTTGTCAGGCTGTAAGTGCATATAAATAACGGAGGGTTTGTTTTTTTTTTCAGGAAATGACTATATATTATGAATATACATTTAGTTGGCTCCTACAGAGGCCTTGGTTGGGTCTGTACATAGGAGGGGTCGTCAAGCTTTAGCTTCATGAGTTTTGTGGGACATTTTCACCTGAGTAAGGAGAGAAGAACTAAGGTGTGCCTATCTGAAGCCACGGTATTTTCAGTTGCCTCATATGCATGTGAAAGTTGGTCATTGAATAAAGAAGACAAAAGAAGAATTGAAGTACTCGAATTGTGGCACAGGAGAAGAGTACTGAAAGTACCACGAACTGCCAAAAGGACAAACAAATCTGTCTGGGAAGAAGTGTGGTCAGAGTGCCCCTTTGCAGTGAGGATGGCAAGATCTCATCTTTATTACTTTGGACATCGTGTGAGTCTAGGGAGATGACAGAAACAAATCCATGGACACGCATATGTGTATAAGAAAGAGGTTTATATATAAGAGTAATTGAATAGTGGGAAAATATCCCAGCCAGTCCAGTCCAAGCCCATAAGTCCGATATTAGCCCATATGTCCAATACCAATCTATAAAGTCCTCTTCAGACTCACAAAGCACATGATGCTGAATGCAGGACAATCACAGGCTAGTGGGTAGAAAGTCTTTGGATCCAGTGGCATTATAAGCATCTCAGTGCTGGCAGGGGTCTCTACGTGGCTTCTCCAGGTCCATGTTTCTAGCTGCATCAGGGTCCATGTGGATTCTCCCCAGGGATGTCTCACAGGGAGTCAGCCTTGAGTCTTGTCAGTAGAGCATCTCCAAGAGAGTGAATCGAGAGAGAGAAGTGCCTCCTGTCTCCAAGGAGGAGAAATACAGGAGTTCCCAGAATTCTCAGGAGAAGGCCATGCCCACACAGAGGCCTCATTGGTTCTACCTTGATTGATGGCCAGACTCCACCCCTTCACTCGTCATCCTCTCAAATTGACACCAGATTATGTAACTACCACAGACATGTAAGGAAAAGCCAGTCCCTGGAGAAAGACATCGTGTTTGGTACAATAGAGGGGCAGTGGAAAAGAGGAAGGCCCTCAAAGAGATGGGCTGATCCCGTGGCTGCAACCATGGGCCCAAGTATAGGAACCATTGTGAGAATGGCCCGGGACCAAGAAGTGTTTCACTCTGTTGTGCGTGCGTCACCGTGGGTTGGAACCAACTCGATGGCACCTTACAGCAACACCAATAAAGAAAGGAGACATTTGGGCCCCACATCTGCATTCCCAGCAGTGAACATGTGCTGTGTGGGACCATCTTCAGATTTCCCTAGCTACGGTACACAAGAAGGTGGGCTATCCCTGAAAAAGTGGTGGCTGGTAGATGGAAGGTGAAGTTCTCTCGGGACAGAGTTAGATGAAAATCAAAACAACTAACGGGGACTGCACCTTTGTCCTCCTCTTTGATTAGGTGGCTTGCAGAGTCTGCTAGATGGCTCATTTTCAACAATAAGCTTGAAGAGGGATTAAAGGAACTTAGACGAGCTGCCCGAATGAATGGAATCAAGAACGCTCGAGAGATGCTGACATTGGAGGTGAGCTAGAAAGAGAAACTAATGAAGGGAAGGCAGACTTGATCTCTACACTCATCAGTGGCCATAGGAATAGAGATGCAGGTACGATTAGAGGTCTTCTTCCCTCAATGCCCCAGTTCTCAATGAGAATATACTGACAATGAGTGCGTGCCATTGTTATTATTTAATTCCCACAACAGAAGCCCCAAAGCACCGAGTATTCACAATGGAGAGATTGTGCATAGTCTCTCTAATTGTGTAAAGTCTGGTGACTGAAACAACCCCATTCCTTTCCAATTAGTAATCTCTGGGTCTTATTTCAGGACACCCAGGCCAGTAGAAGGAAGGGTGAGTGACCATACAGAAGAGTCCATCAGAAAGATTCACTCATTATTTTACTCACTTATGAACTCTTTTATTTAAGATACATTTTGTGAGTGCCTACCAGGGTATCTACCATGTACCAGTACTGTTCTAGCCCTGGATATCTCTCAACAGCCTCCAATCTCAATTTTATAGAGTCTACATTTCTTGTGTGCTACATCCCAAGAGCATTATTAAGTGAACTAAGTATTTCGGAGAAAGCTTTCTCTCTTTTTGTTTGTTTTGGTGTAAAAGGAAGCTAGTGCTATGGATCATTAAGTAAATATTCATCATGTTATGCACATACGTCAATATTGATCGAACAATGATAATGTGCCAGGTCTGGGGCTAAACCATGAATAACCACTCAATCAGCGTCCCAGTCTCCGAAGGGCTTTCACATTAATATGAGAGAGAACAAGAACATTGTTCTTACTGGGTGCCATCCAGCCAATTTCAACTCACCGTGATCCCCTGTGCAATAGAAAGAAACACTGCTTACGCCTTTGTCATCCTCACAGTCATTGCTTTGTTTAAGTTCATTGTTGCTGACACTGTGTCAATCCATCTCATTGAAAGTCCACCACATTTTCCACGACTCTCTACTTGACCAAGAATAATGTCCTTTTCCAGGCGCTGGTCCCTCTAACAACATGTCTAAGGCATGTGAGATGAAGTATCTCCATCCTCGCTTCTAAAGAGCATTGGCATTCTTCGAAGACAGATTTGTTTGTTATTCTGACAGACTGCAGTATACTCAATGTGCTGCACCAACACCGTAATTCATATACATCACTTCTTTTGCAGGCTGCCTTATTCATGATTCAGCTTTTGCAAACGTATGAGTTGATTAAAAATATCATGGAGTCCTCCAAGTGACGTCTTTGTTCTTCAACATTTTAAAGGGATTGTTGGCAGCAGATTTGCCCTTATAGGTTGGGCTCAATGGCATTGAGTTTTTGAGTTTGAGCTTCCATGGCCCTTGATTGTGGTTTCAAATAAAATGAAATCCTTATAACATTGTGTTAAGCTGGGTGTTCTAGAGAAAGAAAACCAGTAACATTCATATTTGTATGGAGTGTATATCAAGAAGTAGTTTTATATCAAGAAGACATGCCAGTCCAGTCCAACTCAAGTCCACAGATCTAATGCTAGCTGAATGGAGCCGTCTTCAGACTCACGAAGCTACAGGCCAATTAGACAGAAAGGTTAAGTGGGATGTAGAAAGTTCACAGGCAATTGGGTGCAGAGTCGAGTGGATCCAAAGTTAGTAGGAATTTGACAGGGTGCTGACAGCTCCAGGTTGGCTCCCAGGGTCAGTCGCCCACATGGGACAATTGCCAGAGGCAGACAGAGAGTCCCAGCAAGCTGGGAGGGCAAAGGCACACAGAGAGGAGAGACATTCTCACTGTCTTTCATGCAGGAAAGGTCACACCCCCGAGGAGACATCATCAGCTATGACCTGATTGCTAGGTTGGACTCCATCCCTACACTTACTTTCATACAGGTCAAGTGGACATAAAATATAACACCCACAAACTTAAAACATTTTTTTCACAATAAAACCATGATATCTATTAGTCCAGTTGTGAGAATTTTTGTTCTCTTTATCTTGAAGAGTAGTCCAGACTGAAGGTTGTATCTGGAAAATATGGCCTTGTTGATACCATAAGGCTGGATAAAATTGTGTAAGACCAATGACATCGTCATTGCAAATAGCATAACAGCATTTCAATCACATATATGACAACTACACAGGTGGACCACACCATATGGAGTACACAGGAATCAAATGGACTGCATCCGTAGAAAGAGACCTTGGAGAAGCTCAATGTCATTGCTAAATTAAAGCACAGTGCCGTCTGTGGAACAGACCATCAATTGCTCATATGTACGCTCAGGATAACCCTGAAGACTATGAAAAGAAGTCCACGAGAGCCCAATTATAACCTCGAGTAAATTCCACCTGAGTTTCAAGAACAGATGTGATACATCGAACATGAATGGCAGACGACTGATGAATTGTGGGATGATATCAACAACATCATACATGAAGAAAGCAAACGTTTATTAAAAAGACATGAAAGAAAGAAAAGACGGAAGTAGATGTCAGAAGAGACTGTGGATGCCATGCTAACCTGCTGGACTTTCCTCTGCCCACTCTGCCCACCTGCTCCTCTAAGCCTACGAGGGCTACCATCAGCAGCTGGTATGAAGAGGGTGCCTGGTAGACAGCAAAGGCTCTGATGAATACATGAAGGAACTAGGTGTGGGAATGGCTCTGTGGAATATGGGTGCCATGGTCAAACCTGACTATCCTCTACCGAGGACAACACCCTCACCATGAGAACCGAGAGCACTTTGAAAACCACACAGTTTTCTTGTAAACGTGGAAAAAAGTTTGCAGAAACTATAACTGATGGCAGGGAAACTCTGATTCTCTGCAACTTTACAGACGGTATTTTGGTCCAATCCCAGGAGTGGGATGGGACGGAGAATATGATTACAAGCAAATTGGAAAATGAAAAATTAGTCATGGAATGTTTTATGAACAATGTCACCTAGACATGGACCTGTGAAAAAGCAGAATAAAAATCCCATCATCCCTTGAAGGAATGACCTGAGAATGAATAAACCCAGTTCATCGAGCAAATCTCCATACTGTTTCTTTGTTTGTTATCGTCTTCGATGACGTCTATTACAAACATTCTACATGCGACTACTGCAAAGGGTTGAATTAGTTAGGGTCATCCCTTTGGTTAATCGATGAGCGTGTTTGTGCTAGGGGAAAAATAAGACTCTTGAACATAAAGTAGCTAAAGTTAATGGAACACTCGATGAAGAAAAAGAGTGGAATGGAAAATTTCAAAGGGAAATTCTAGAAAATAAAGTCGTTCAATGAAATGTGCAAAGACCTGGATAGAGAAGGTTAAAATGGAAGGACACACTCAGCCTATTTCAAGCTGAAAGAACCGATGGAAAAAATTCAAGCCTTGAGTTGAAATATTCAGGGATTCTATGGGAAAACCATTGAGCAGTGCAGGAAGCATCAAAAGAAGACGGAAGGAGTACACAGCCACAAAGAACGACTACACAAACAGAGCTGTTGCCATCCAATCATTGAGAGAGGTAACATATACTCGAGACTCAATGGCATCAAAGGAAGAAGTCCAAATTGCACCGAAAGGATTAGCCAAAAGCAAGGCTGCCGGAGTGGACAGAATACTAACGGAAACGCTTCAATAGGCGGTGAAACACTGAAAGCACTCACTGTTCTGTGCCAAGCAATTTCGAAGAAAGCTACCTTGCCAACTAGCTGGACAAAATAGTTGTGCCCATTCTAAAGAATGGAAAATTATCAAACAAACGATCATGAATATCACATGCAGTGAAATTGTGGTGAAGAGTACTTAAAAATGGCTGCAACAGTGCATCAACAGGGAACTGCCAGAAATTCAAGCTATCTTCAGATGAGGACCGGGAATAGAGGATGTCATTGCTGACTTTAGAGGGACCTTGGCTGAAGGCAGAGAATACTAGAAACATGTTTACTTGTGTTTAATTAACTATGGGAAGGCATTTGACTGTGCGGCTCATAGAAAACCATGGACAACATTGAGAAAAAAGGGAAATCTAGACACTTCATTGTGCTCATGTGGAGCCTGCACATAGACCAAGGAGACTGTCTTTCAAATACAATAAGGGACTATTGTATGGCTTACGTTGTAGCTATATAATTGTTTGTTAATTTGAGAGGATTAAGAGTGACAGGGTGGAGTCTAGCCTGTCAATCAGGTCATAGGCAACGAGGCCTCTCTGTGGGCATGGCCTTCTCCTGAGGATTCTGGGAACTCCTGTATTCCTCTTTGGAGGTGGGAGACACTCTCTCTCTGTGGACTCCCTGGGAGACATTGCAGCTGACAAGACATATGGAGCTACGCTAGTGCCCTAAGCTGAAGAGGCCTTGTGGAGATCCCTGCCAACGCCGAGATGCTTGCAACACCACTGGATCCACAAGACTTCCTACCCACTGGCCTGTGATCTTCTTGCATTCTGCATAATTGCATGTGTTTCATGAGTCTGAAGAGGACTTTATAGACTGGTATTGGACATATGGGCTAATAACTGATTGTGGACTTGATCTGGACTGGGCTGGGATGTTTTCTCAGTATTCAATTGCTCTTGTATATAAAGCTCTTTCTTATTCATGTATGAGTGTGTCTACGAATTTGTTTCTCTAGTCTACCCAGACTAACACAGCTTAAAATCAGTCAACGTGTGTATCAGGGTTGTAGCCTTTCATTACACTTATTCAATCTGTATGTTGAGTAAATAATCTGAGAAGCTGAACTATGTGAAGAAGAATGCAACATCAGGATTAGAGGAAGGTGTATTAACAACCTTTGATATGTAGATGACACAAATTTGATTGCTTAAAGCAGGAGTTCTCAACCTGTGGGTCCCGACCCCTTTGGCGGTCGAACGACCCTTTCACAGGGGTCGTCATAGGAACCCAGACACTGTTTCTCTATCTCGTCTCCAGATACGTCCACATTCCAGTACCCACTGTGAAGACTGTTACCCATGCTACACCATGCTTCAAGACAACATTTCATTGATTTGTAATTAGAAATAACTATTTCACAATATATAACTACATATTGATTTTGTGATTGATCACTGCTTTCATTATGTTCAATTTGTAACAATGAAAATACATCCTGCATATCAGCTATTTACATTACGATTCATAACAGTAGCAAACTGACAGTTTTGAAGTAACAACAAAAATAATTTTATGATTGGGCATCACCACCACCACATGAGGAACTGTATTAAAGGGTTGCGGCATTAGGAAGGTTGAGAACCATTGGCTTAAAGTAAGGAGGACTTGAAACACGCTGATGAAGATCTAATACTGCAGCCTTCAGTATAGACTGCAACTCAACTCAAAGAAACCAAAAGTCCTCGCAATTGGACAAACAGACGACATCATGATAGACTGAGGAAAGTTTGGAGTTGTTGAGGATTTCCTCTTACTTGGATCCCCAATCAATGCTCAGCGGAGCAACAGTCAAGAGATCAAAGGGCAGATTGCATTGCGTGACTGCTGCACAAAACCTCTTTAAGTGTTGAAAACAAGGGTATCTCTTGGAGACTAAGGTGCACCTGAGTCAAGTCATGCTGTTTTCAACGGCCTCCCATACATGTTAAAGCTGACAGTGAGTGAAGAAATCTGGAGATGAATTGATGCATTTGAATCATAGAGGTGGTGATGAATATTTAAAGCACCCTGGGCTTCCTTCCAGAAGAAGCGTTAAGTCTATCTTAAAGGAAGTACAGCCAGAACACTCCTCGGAAGGGAGGATGGCGAGACTCTACTTCACATAGTCGGACATGCTATCAGCAAAGACTAGTCCCTGGAAAAGGACTTCATGCCAAGAAATTTCTTGTGGAGGTTCATTGAAAAAAAGAAGGACCCTCAATCAATTAGATTGACACAGTGGTTGCAACAGTGGGCTCAAACATTAATAATTGTGAGGGTGGTGCAGGACTAGGCAGGGTTAGTGTTCTTGTGCAGAGACTTGCTATCAGTTAGAACAGACTCCTTGGCACCCAAGAACTACAACACTCTTCTAATCAAGTGTAATACTCAGGAGCCAGCTTCAGCCTGCTAGGCAAGCCCATGACCTCCACGCTGTTGTTGGTTTTTTGCTTTGTTTTTTAACCCCTTTCTTTATTTTCTCTAAAAATTCTTACCTGCTTCTCAGTGTCATGAGATCTTCCTCCAGGAAAGGACCTAGCAGGTGACAGAGACATACTATATATAGTAACCAGGGCACAATCAGGCCTGAGCACAAATCCTAATACACCAAGATCGCTCTACTTTTGCTTTATGATTTGATTCTAGGCATCTACCTCATAGAGACACAGCTGCTAGAACTTGCCTGAAAGCGGCAGAGCCTGGAGCAAAAATCAAAAGTTCTCAAGACATTTGCCTCCTTTCTGAGACACACTACTTTGCTGCCAAGGGCAAGCAGCTGAGAACCACGCTCAGTTCCAATTCTTTCATGCCCATTTGGCTCAAAGGAATCTTTGGGCTACCACATAACTATCTCATCATTTGATTTCACTTTCTATTCTATCTAACCTAGGCGCCCTTTTTTTCGTGCCCTGTAGACTTCTCTGGTCCCTATTTCAAATGACTTACTTACTGCCTACTTTTCTTGAGGCGCTTTTAAACGCTTTAATTTACTGTTCAGATCACGTTTCTCAACTGCAAAGGCATATTTCGTGTCTACATGTCCCACTAGACCAGCAGTTCTCAACCTGTGGGTTGTGACCCCTTTGGAGGTCAAACGACCCTTTCACTGGGGTCACCTGATTCATAAAAGTAGCAAGATTACAGTGATGAGATAGCAATGTAAATAATTTTATGGTTGGGGAAGGGTGGTCACCATCACATGAGGAATTGTATGAAAGGGTCGTGGCATTGGCAGGTTGAGAACCACTGCCGTAGACAGAAAGAGAACATGTCTTTTTTGTTCTCTGTTGGGCGTTCAGTGTTCTCCCCAAAGCCTGACACTTGGCTGGCCACTGATAAATGTTTGTTGTTGTTGTTATTGCAGGAGTTGAAAGCCACCATGCAGGAGGAGCTGGAGGAAGCACGGAACAAGCCTTCTCTGTGTGACCTCTTCAACTCGCCCACCCTGCGGAAATGGATCCAACTCACATCTTTTGTGAAGTAGGCTTCAGACAGGAGTGTTCGAATCGTGAACCTACTTCAGCTTTCAAAGGATGCACCCGTGTTGCGGGGGACAGTCTGAGAGATAAAGGGCACGGAAAGCACCACACAATTGTTATACTTGAAGTTAGTTGACAGGGGTTATGGAAAGGCTCTCGGGAGATAATTACACAGTGCAGGCACAAGTCTGTCACATCACCTTACAAGGCTCATGCATCCCAGGAGACCGAGAGTGAGGATGTCAATCCCTGGCTTTGATGTTTCTTCGTCGCTTGTTTCCGTTTTAATTGAGAAAAAAAACCCTTACAACAATAAGGTGTATTAAAAAATATACAACCGAATGCATTTCCCATATATAAATATGGAACTCAAAGCCAACTAGCAATATAGAAACACTCTCATGCTCAGGGCACCCTATCATGTATTCTCCAGGTCACATTCAAAAGAACTTACCCGCCCCTCCAAAAATCCAAAACCCCAAACAAACAAAACATCTCTCCCAAACCCAAACTTAGCAATTCTGATCCCCGTGATCATACAGTTATTTTATGATCCTTTTGAAGCCACCACCCGGAAAGTACTAGTCTACCTGCACACTGTGCACGCGTGCCTCACTACCAACCATTGGTTGACCGGGTCAATGTGATGGCTAATTGCGAAACATCGGCTCTAAATCAGTCATGTGATGTGTCTTTTCTCTTGTTCAACGCAGATTTGTCAACAGTATGTCGGGGTTTGGCCTGCTGTTTAATCTCCAGCACCTGGGGAACAATGTGTTCCTGATCCAAGTTCTTTTTGGCGTTACCTCCCTCGCAGCCAAAGGTGTGGCCCTTTGGGCAATGAGACAAATTGGCCGTCAAAAAAGCCAAGTGATTTTCACGTTCACGTTGGGCATTGCTCTTTTGGTCCTCACATTTGTGCCTCAAGGTAAGAAAACATCACAGATCGGAGGAAAGAAAAGGCAGCCTTGTTCTGAAGCTGGGAGGCAAGGAACCTCATCAGGTCCCGAAACCAATCTGTAGGTTGAGGATAGATTCTACCATCAAGTTTTAGGCCAGCCGAGGGTCAGCCCAGACATATAACTGTTGTCATCCTCCCTGAGAATTATCTGGAAAATGGTGCTATTTCTTCCTGGCATTTCTCTAGAACGGCAATGAATCACTTGCCCTTGGTCTGATCACACATTTTATAGCAACCACTGAGGGACGAAGGCTTGCAATGGTCACCCAGTACGGAGACACAACATGGTCACTTTCTTCTGGGCTCTCGCTACATAACAGCTCCAGGACCATGTACACTCCCCCCACCCCCTACCCGATCTCTACATCCACTCGTGTGTCTGTATTGCCAACTTGGCTTATTGGAGGTCGTTTTAACTTCATGAACATAAATATACTTTGTCTCTGGTAGAGAAGGATACCGTGGGGAGAAGGGGTTAAACATATTAAGATCCCCACTTAGAATTTTAATTTTACTAAGTGAAGTGGTCACATGGAATGATGAGGGGACCCACACGCTCACCACATTTCCTGCACCTCCCAGCTGAGCAATGGATTTTATAGGATCGGAGGGTGACTTCAATTCTCGTCAGTGTCCCAGGCGATAAAGCTCTCATGATATTTTAAAAACAATGGCTAGACACCTGATTCTTAAACGCTCCTTCTGTGGTCCACGGCAACCTGGCCTTTGCTCACCTTGGAGAGCACCCTGTTGCTGATGGTTGAAGCATTTTCCAAGGTAAATGTCTCTTCTTTCAGCCCATCAGCTTTGTAGTCTCCTCCTTTCATTATTCTCTTGGGTAGTGCTTGCCCCTGGTCAATATCGTATCTGCACCTCCCTCTAAACTCCAGAGCATGGTGTCTTAGATGCCTCAGGATTTGCCCACAGGGTAGGCCTGTGTTCTATCGCAGAATGATAGGAGGCACCGGGCAAAATGAAAAACAGAAACCCCTGCAGATCCATTCTCCCCTCTAGCCTTCTGGAAAATCCTGGGTATGCAGGGAGAGTTATTGCAATAACTCAGGTACTTTTATGCACTGCTTGTCTTAGTCAGGATTCTCTAGAGAAACTGAACCAGTAAGAAGCACGCATGCACACACACACACACACACACACACACTAAAAACCTCACTGCCATTGAGTCAATTCTGACTCATGGGGACCCAATTCTTCCTCATGGGGACCCAGTTCTGACTCTGGAGACCCTGAGTAGAACTGCTCTTGTGATTTGCCGAGACTGTAACTCTTTACGGGAGTAGAAAGCCTCATCTTTCTTCTGAGCGGCGGCTGGTGGTTTCAAACTACTGAACTCAAGGCTCGCAGCCCATTGCTTAACCACTGTGCCATCAGGGCTTCATCTAGATATGTGAGTCCTTCAAAGAGTTCATGGAAAAATTCCTTTGTCTCTTTAATTCCATTTCCCACAAACCTTGTGAAGCCCCCTTCATATTTGCACAGAGATTTATGAGGAGATATTCATGCAGGAGTGTACGCACCCAAAACACAGAAAACAAACAAAAAATCCAAACTCACTGCCATCGAGTTTATATTGATGCTATAGGACAAAGTAGAACTATTCCTGTGGGTTTCTGAGACTATCACTCTCTATAGAACGATAAAGTCTCCTCTTTCTCCCATGGAGCAGCTGGTGGTTTTGAATTGTTGACCTTGGACTTAGCAGCTGGACTTGTAACCATTATATCACCAAAAACCCATAGGTCAGGTGACAAACTGGAGCCTTCTGCTGGCTCATGTACCAAGATCCACAGGTCAGGAGACAAACAGAATCAGGGACCAAAGAAAGGTTACTTCTGTCAAAATACCTATGAGGGGGCACCGCCTCCCCCCCACCCCCCAATTTGTCCCACTAGGGGAGCATCAAGCAACTGGCTCTGAGTTAGTGTATTTAGTAACATCACCTGGGAAGGTTCTCTCTGGTCAATTTTTTGGTAATAGCAGTTTTGCTCGAACCTTGGTTTTTTTTCTGAAGGCCAATTTAAGAGAACAGCATGTGGCTGTGAAATGTTGCTTCCCACTCGGGAAAAATGCCACGGAAGCTGTTGTGATGTTGAACATAGCTTACAAACACAATGCTATGGGGAAAACTCAAGTGTACGGGTAGTTTTCTCATTTCAATAAAGATGAAATGTTGATTGGCGACAAATCTCATTCTGGACATCTGTCAACTTCCTGAACACATAAAAAAGTCAACAAAATTTGTGCACTTGTGCTCGAAGGCCAATGACGGACGTTTGAAGAGATGGGGAGATTATTTGGACTATTTTGGAGCTCAGTTCAGCAAATTATAATGGAAGTTTGGGGAATGGAAGATTTTTATGAGACTTGGGAAGATTTGGTTCGCTGCAAATTTGTGTCTTGGGTTCTGACTGACCAGCAAAGAAAGCATTGACTAGACACATGCCTTGCTTTGAAAGAACAGCCTATTTTCCCCAAAGTCATTACTGGTGATGAGACAAGGTGCTGTGACTCTTATGACCCTGAAAGTAAACCTCAATCACACCAGTGGAAGACACCATTATCACGTTGCCCCCAGAACTTGTCAAGTGAAATCAAAGATCAAGACAAGGCTCATTTGTTTTTTGTTTTATGTGAGGAGGCTAGTGCATTAGGAGTTTGTTCCATCAGGTCAGACTGTTAATCAAGCTTTCTATGTAGAGGTTCTGAAAAGATTGCATAACTGTGCGACAAAAAAGGCTGATTTGTGGCAGATGGGGGACTGATTTATCCACCATGACAATGTACCTGCTCACACAGCCATCTCAGTATGCCATTTTTTTGGTAAAACAACAACAGCAACAACAACAAAAACAACACCCCCCCCAAAAAAAATCCCAGCATGCCTCTCTTGCCCCACGCACCTTACTCACCTGACCTTGCTCCGCTCCATGCAACTTCTTTTAGTTTCCTCAAATGAAGAGGGACATGAAAGGGCAGCGGTTTGATGAAGTAGAAGAGGTGAAGTAAAAAAAAACCAGGGAGGCGCTGTCAGCTACCCAAACAGATGAGTTTGAAGAATGCTTGCAAGAATGGAATCGCAGATTTGACAAATATATTAAGTGTAATGGAGAGTCTTTGAAGGTGACAAGGTTGCTTTATAAAACATTTAAATACATAGCCTTGAGGGGGGAAAAATCTGCTTTTGGGGGCGGGGATACCCCCTCATATTTATAATCTGAAGACAGACTACACCCTAAGGAGATGCCTATTTCAATTGATTCCTTACATTCTTTTCTTTCTTTTTAAAATCATTTTATTGGGGGCACGTACACCTCATCACAATCCATCCATCCATCCATTGTGTCAAGCACATTAATTACATTCTTTTCAGTTGTGGGAAGTGATTGCATTGCACTGAATTCAATTATATATGGACCAGTGTAATATTCGGTCTAATCATGGGAACTAGAGCTTAGTCAGTGAATATGTACAGTTAACATCTCCAATGAACTGTTTAAGATTGAATATGCCCATAAGTCATGTTTCTCAACACAGCAAACACTCGAGTCTCTTCTTTCATGCAGTTTCTCTACAGCATGATTTACACTTGCAAGGGCATCTGATCGGGGCTTTCTCACTCATATTTGGGGGGAGCAGTTGCCCTGAGCTCCAATGTTTCAGATCTCACTGGTCTCCCTCTATTCAGAGCAGCCGACCCTCCGGATGATCTTGGCCATTTTGGGAATGGGTGCTGTTTCTGCCACGAATGCCTGTGCCCACCTGCACTCCAACGAGCTCTTCCCCACACTAATCAGGTAGGTGTGAATACCCTGTCGGGTCCAAAGATTGCTGCGCCAGCTAACTGGCGCTTAGGGAGGGAAGGAGCCCGAGATTAGTTAGTCATTAAAAGTAAGTTATAACTGGACTTACTCAAAGTTGACTTTTTTGCCAGGCACTGTGTAAGCCCTTGAATGCATCATCTTACCTCAACTTTTGCACCTCCCAAATGGTAGGTGCTACGGGTATCTTTTTTTTTAAGTGCGGAGTGGAGATCCAAAGCCCTTTGGTAGGCCACTGGAGATCCCCTTGCAGAGGGGTCTCGGGGAGGAGACGAGCCAGTCAGGGTGCGATGTAACAACGATGAGAAATACAACTCTCCTCTAGTTCCTAAATGTTTTCTCCCCACTCCCACTACCATGACTCGAATTCGACCTTGCAAGTCTGGCTAGACCAGAGGATGTACACTGGTACAGATAGGAACTGAAAATCCAGGGAATCCAGGGCGGATGAGCCCTATAGGACCAGTGGTGTGAGTGGTGAAACAGGGAGGGTAAAGGGAGAATGGGTAGGAAAGAGGGAACCGATTACAAGGAACTGTGTGTGACCTCCTCCCTGGGGGACGGACAACCGAAAAGTGGGTGAAGGGAGACGTCGGACAGGGCAAGATATGACAAAATACCCATTTATAAACTATCAAGGGCTCATGAGGGAGGGGGGAGTGGGGAGGGAGGGGAAAAATGAGGACCTAATGTCAGGGGCTTAAATGGAGAGAAAATGTTTTGAGAATGATGTACAAATGCGCTTTACACAAGTGATGTGTGTATGGATTGCGATAACAGTTGTATGAGCCCCTAATAAAATGTAAAAAAAAAAAAAAAAAAAGATCAAAATACGTCTTAATGCAGTAGTGAACCTGAGAACAAGAGCTATCAGATACCAAAACAAACCAAACATCCATTGAGTTGACTTTGACTCATCGCAACCCTAGAAGACAGGCTAGAGCTGTCTCTGTAGGTTTCCATGACTATACCTCTTTATGGGAATAGAAAGCCTCGTCATTTTCCCGTGGAGCAGCTGGTGGTTTTGAACTGTTGACCATGACATCAGCAGCCCAACGGCATAGCAACGGGATGCAACCAATCTCCATGTATCCAAACACTCTGCTGTGGGGGTCCTCATCGTGGAAGCCAAATAACATCTCAATATTTCCTGTATGAGTTTTACAAGATCTATTTATGTCATTGTATGCATCTCAAGGGCAAGAACTTCAGGAATCAATGTCATGGCCAGTGGTACCGGGGCAGCCTTGGCCCCTCTTTTGATGACCCTAATGATATATTCACGCCCGCTGCCCTGGATCATCTATGGAGTCGCTCCCATCCTGGCTGGCTTTGCTGTTCTTCTCCTTCCTGAAACTAGGAATCGGCCTCTGCCAGACACCATCCAGGATGTGGAAAATTCGTGAGTAAAACCTCTTGGTTGTTTTCTTGGGAAGATTGTGTCCCGCTCATCTGTGAAGAGGAAGGGCAACCACCACTGAGGGCCCTTCTCCTGAGGCATGCTCTGGTGGTTATTTCCACTTGTGGCAGGACCACGAGTTTGGTGGCAGCCTATTCTCATTCACAGTGATGTCAGCCTTGATTGGAAATCTTAAAACCAGCTGCACCACAGCGGCACCAGTAGGTTCAATGGTGAAGAGACCACAAGGAGGACTCCTCTGCTCCCCCTTCCCCGTGCGATGGACACCCCTGATGGTTTTCACCAATATGCACAGACCCAAACACCAGAGTCCTATCCCTTAGACCTGGGCCCTGCCCAGTTCACGAGTCCTCAAGAGCTGGCTGTGACCGCTCTTAGCTGTAGGCTTGATGTCTGCCTCCGTGGAGGACATGAGGGTCCTTGCAAAGGTGACGCATATCCCAAAGGAAGGAGTCCTCTTGGGTCGTCTGTGAAAGTCAGTTGGGCGGGTCTGGTCTCACTGGGATCAAAGCGTTGAGAAAAGAGAGCGAATAAAGGTCTGGTAAGGGAAAGGGCTTCAACATGATACAGCATGGGAATGCCTTGTTTAACAGTTCTGCTCTTCCCTTCCCATTGCCACTGGACTCTGTGGGCCCATGCCTTCATGAGAATATCAGCTACGAAACTACTTATCCAAATTCTGCCCTGGGGACTAGGCATGGTCCGTCACAAGACTGACTTGAACTCTCGGGCAGAGACCGCGGTTTTTACCAGAGTGGGCAGGCAGAGAGTCGACTAGCTTAAAGAATACAGAACATATATGTTTCCCTACTGCGTGCTTTCCTTGTTTTCACTTGTTGGCTTTGTTTTATTTGCTCCAGGACAAAAGACTCCAAAAAAGGAAAGGAAGATTCTTGGGTGAAAGTGACACCGTTTTAAGGAATCCTAAGAGTTGCTGCCGATGAAAGGGGAAATTAAGGGGTGGAGGGAGAATCCAGATCATTGCTACCTAATGCGCAAACCTTAGAAAATATATAAATAAAAAGAAATCATGGAAAAACGGGTCTCTTTTACAGTTCTGGTACTCAATTGCTGCTGTTGTCAGGTGCCATAGAGTCCGTGCTAACTTGTGGCGACCTTACGCACAACGGAAGGGACACTGCCTGGTCCCGCACCAGCCTCACAGTGGCTCTCATGCTAGCGCCTATCATTGGAGCTGCTGTGTCGATCCATCTCCTCAAAGGTTTTCCTCTTTCCCCTGCCCCTCTGCTCTGCCGAGCATGATGTCCTTTCCATGGACCCGTCTCCCCTGACAACATGTCCGCAGTACATGAGATGAAGTCTCTCCACCCTGGCTTCGAAGGTGAATCCTCACTGTTCTTGCTTCTAAGACAGGGTTGTTGTTCTTTGGGCAGCCCATGGTACTTTCAATATTCTTCACCAGCACCATCATTTAAATGCATTGCTTTTTCTTTGGTCTTCCTTACTCAATGTCCAACTTTCACATGCACACGAGGCCATTGAAAATGCCATGGTCTCGGTCAGGTGCACCTCAGTCCTCAAAGAAACATCCTTGCTCTTCAACAATATAAAATGAGTCATTTACTAAATTGTAAATAGAAAACACACATCATTAACCGAGGACCCCCGGTGACACCGTGGTAAAAGCACTTGGCTGTTAACCGAATGGTCAGCAGCTCAGACCTACCAGTGAGTCAAAGATGTGAGTCTGCTTCATAAAGGTTTATAGCCTTGGAAACCCTGTGGGGTAGGTAACTCTGTGTGCTGTCCTATAGGGGAGCTAATCAGTAGGAATTTAATAAGCAGCAATCATTAATCATAAGAAACATAAAGAAGAAAACAGAGCTGTCCTCTGCTCCAGCAATCCCACTACTAGGTGTCTGTCCTAGAGAAAGAAGAGCCACAGCACAAATAGTTGTATGGTACATCCATGTTCATCATAATATTGTCCACACTAGCAAAAAGATGGACGCAGTCTACGTGTCCATCAATGGGTGAGTGGGTAATCAAACTATGGTACATGCACACAATGAACTCTCACACAACATTCAACTTGGATGAACCTGAAGGGTAGGGTACATTAAGCACAAATGACAAATACTGAATGAGACCACTATTATCAAAAGTCAAGACAAAGTTTTCACGCAGAAAGAAAATTTGTTTGAAGATTAACAGAGATAGGAGGGGCAAGGAGTAGAAATTGCTAACTAGAGAGTAGACACCTATTAACTTGGGGGGAAGGGAGAGGCAATGAACAATAAGGGGAGGTCAGCACAATATGACCAAGGCAAAGGAAGCCAGTGGGAGGTATACACTGAGTTAAAGGCAACAGATATAAATATTATCACACACAATTCCATAAAAACAGTAAAAACAATAATCAATGTCTGGATACATAGGTAGATTATGCAAGCTGAACAGGGGTGGGAAGGCCAATGGAACTACACCCATGAGTTTATATAGGTTTGACAGAAGGTATTTCTGCCTATGTATTTGTATGTGGTGCAAATATATCCAGGTGTATAGTAGAGCATGGAGCATATTGGGGGGGGGGGCGCGGCAAAGTTATGTAAACTTTTTAACCATAACAAAAAATCTTGAGGGACTGAGTCACTTGAGAACTCAGAATTAGAGTCTCTGGAGCAATCTAAGATAATCGGCATAACATAATCCATAAAGACAGTCTTTTTTTAAAAAAAATTTATTGGGAGCTCTTACAGATAACATAGCATTCCATAGTTCAATCACATCAAGCAGTATTGTACAATTGCTACCACAATCAGCTTCAAAACATTTTCTTCTTCTGGAACTCCTTGATATGAGCTCCCCCCCTCCCCCCCCTCCCCCAAGGAACCCTTATTATTATCACTTTTCTCCTTATAATAGTTTTTTGGCTTTTGCCATATTTTACACCATCCAATATATCCATTCACATACAATTCTGTTGTTCGATCCCACCTAGTGGGGTTATGCAGTCATCGATGCCACCAGTTCCCTATTCCCCAACCCTCCCCCCGCCCCTTTCCCATACTCTCAGGGAATCATTACACCTGTTACTGTTTCTTAAGGGTTATCTATTTTGGCTTTCATGCACCGAATGATCCTAAATATACAAATGAACATACACGAATCTAACATGACTAATGAGGTAAAACAAATTAAAACTATAATAGTAAGGAGAGGAAATATTGGAAAAGTAGAGGATAGTTCTGTGGTTCATCAGCACTATACCACACCCTGGATTTATCATCTCTTCCATGTAGCCCTTCCGAAAGGGACTGTTCAATGATCTTACAGGTGGTTTTGGGAGTCTCCACTACATCCATGCCCCTTCATATCTGTTTGGTTTCTTGTTTTTGAACCTTAACATGGGGAATACATGAGCTCTCAGACATAAGAAAGGATGCACACCCAGGGGAAGAAAAATCAGGCAAGTGGGACCTACTAAAGATAAAACACTTGTGTATATTGAAAGATGTCATCAAGAGAATAATAAGAGAGCCCACCGACTGTTAGGGCTCTTGGCTTTAAGACAGCCTTCTAAATCCTTCTTGGACTCTGAAAACCTTTAAAGCAGTCATCTAATATGTAACAACTGGCCTCCTATCCAGAGCAAAGAAGTGTGACAAAAATCAAACACTCATAGAAATAATTAGTCCAAAGTATGAATGAACCACATGAACCACAACGTCTACCACCCTGAGACCAGAAGAATTAGATGGTGTCCAGTTATCACAATGGATTGCTCTGATTGGTATCAAAATAGAAAGTTCTGAACAGAATGGGAGAAAATGTTGACAAAAATTCAAAATCATAAAAGAGACCAGTTTACTGGCTTGATCCAGGCTGATGGACTGCCTGAGACTGTCGTCCTCAGAGCCTGGTAGACATGGTTTAGAGGACACACCCAGCTACAAAAGGAGGCAGGTGACTCAGACTCATTATCAGCTCAAGGCTGATTTCAATGAGGCCAGTCATCCTTCTACCCTCCATCGCTCTTTACCCCATTTGGAAACCAATGGCCCCTCCCATGGCACTCTACTTCTCTGTTGGGCTCCATGTGCCTTCAGCGGTCACACAGAACGCATAGACAATGCAATACTCATGAGTATGGGGGTTATTAGGGAAGTTAACAAGTTACAAGTCAGGATAAGAAATGTTAAGCATACAGTTCTTTTATCCACTCTTCTTAGTCATGCCCACAGGCTCCCTATCTCTGGTCCTCTGCTCCTTAGCTATGTAGTCCCTTGACCTCTGCCCTGCTTGGACAAATGTTACAAAGTGTCATTAGTTCTGCTAAAGGCCCAAAGGGCACCCCATTTTACAAGCTAGCTTTCCGCCCAAAGGCACTCAGTTTTACTCCTTCTGTGGGTCAGGAAGCCTGCTGCTGTCTCATGGTCTCAGTGTTGTGCCTCTGCTCCCTCACTTCTCCACACAAGGATCTTGGACATGTTCTCCTTGTGGCCCATCTTTCTGCATGGTCATGAGAATCTCTCTCCTGCTTTTGAGATGGTTCACTTTATACCCAGGAATGACGAAACCGCCTCACAGTTCTGGACTTTTATTGATTTGTAAAAGCATCTGCAATTACTCTGGAGTAGTTTATGATGAAGCCCAGTACATATTACCACATCTACCTGCTTTCTTCATTCCATGATCCTCCCTTTACTGAATTATCTTGTTTTGTCTAGTTTTCTTGCATAGAGAAATTTTATTAAGGATCGCCTGGGAGAGAGAAATTACTCACCAGTTTACTTGACTGTCTGATTTATCTTGTTTATTATTGTCTGGGCAGAGACCGGTAGCTTTAAATTTGCCTAAAGTGCCAAGAGACCAAAGAAAGAGGCTAACAACTTCATGATGGTAATATACGAGTTTATTAAGGACTTGTTAATTAAGACACCATACGTCCCTGGGGTAAATGAATAATTATGCAATAAATAAGCCTAAATATTTGGATATAAGGGAATGATACTTTGGAGCTTGAATACTTCATAATTAAATTTTTTTCTAAGACTCAGCAGGAAGCTGGATCCTGTGAGGGAGAGCTCAGTTATCTCCGCTGTCTCACTTCACCATTGTTTCTGACATCTGTCCATAGCGTTCTCCTTCTCTTGACTGGATTCAACCATACGCCGCAATGCTCAAAAAACTCATGGAACTACCACATTCACAAGCGCAGCCAGAGGAGCGATAAACAAAGGATAGCAACAGAAATGAAGATATGCACAGGACAAATTCCAGCGTGGGAGCTCAATAATCTCAAGGTTACTCTCCTGAAAAAACAGTTATTCACAAATACTTCATGACATCTCCCTGGGGCGGAAGTTCCCTCTACAAGTGCAAGACGACTTCCTGAGGTTATCCTGCCACCTGCTGGAGCAGCATTTGTTGTCAACCTGCCCCCTGGTGGCATTTCTTAGCTCTGCTCAACTCTGTCGCGGTGCTTTGTGCCTGATGGTTGTCTCTCCCATCAGTTTGGGGTATCATCGCTGCAGCTATAAGCAGCTCTTTAACCTGGTCTAGTAGAAGGCTTTCCTAAAGGGCAGTTCTACTCTATCCTATAAGCTTGTTTTGAGTTGGAGTTGACTCAATGGGTCTGATTTGGTGCTTGGTGGGAGGATTTAGAGTGCCATAGTAGTACAGTGGGTAAGCATTAAAGAAAGGTTAGTGGTTCAAACCCACCGGCTTCTCTGTGAGAGAAGAATGTAAGGAATGATTTACAGCCTTGGAAACACTACAGAGCAGTTCTACGCTGTCCTGTAGGGTCGCTATCAGCTGGGATCTATGGCGGTGTGTTTGGTTTGATTTTGGGGCTTTTGGTGGAGAGTTTCTGGCACAGGGACATCTGTGTCCTAACAAACACACGGCACTCAGCTCTTAGCCAAGAAGCTCCCTAAAGCTGTGTTTCATGTGGACTCTCTCTCTAGTCCTCCCGCTCTGCTACTGCTTCTCTGTGTGGCTCATCTGGCTTCTGCCGTTGCCCCTCGTCACTCCTCTGCTTTCTGCCAGATCCAGCTCTCTAACCAGGCCCAAAGTCTCCACCATTGTTGTAGTGCTTATTAGTGTTTTTGGTTTTTTGCTGAGTCCCCGGTGCAGGGCCTCGATGCCCCAAAGGACAGACCTATCTTTCCAGTTCTCATCCAAGAGACCTAAATAAAGTCTCTGGTTTTAAACCTTCAAAATAAAGCATGTCTTGTCATTTTCGAGGTGGGAGGTCTACTTAACCCAGTTGATCCTCCCAGATGCTCTGAGGGAGCCGAGGCAACCCTCAATTACCCAGGAGATGCCAATCCACTCAGGACCAGACTGAAGAAAAGAAAGAAAACTTCAAGTTGTCAGCGCTAACCTGGGAAATGTCAGTCAACTTGGGAAATTTCTTGAATTGTTCTTTCCCACAAACCCGGGACATAAAGACCACATGAGGGAACCTATTGTCCCACAAGACTTCATACTTGTAATAGATTGAATTGTGTCTCCTAAAGTTTTATATTTAATCCTTAACTCCTGGTATCTGTAAACATGACTGTATTAGGGTTCGACAGAGGAAGAAAGCCAACAATATCACATATATATATGTTTATATACATACACAAATATGTATATTTGAAATGAAAGACATTGGTTCACATGGTTCTGGGGGCTGGCAAATCTAAAATCCGTACATCAGGCAACAGGGTGGAAATGCTAGCAGTATTAGGCCCCAAACCTCAGGTTTAAGACCTTCAATTAGTTGAATGAGGTTCACCTTTATCATGGAGGGTGATCTGCTTTAGTAAACTTAATTGATCTGCATGCCACTAACATGTCAAGGGTTTTGTCTTGCCTGGATCCACAAAGTTCACAGAAGTATCAGTCAAGAGATCAATGATGGCAACATATGTACAAATACACTTGATACAATTGATGGATGGATTGTTATAAGAGCTGTAAGAGCCCCCAATAAAACGATCTTTTAAAAAGAAAAAGAAAGGACCCCTATTGATGTTGGAAGTCTTCCCCAAAAGCAATGTCATGACATCGCAACAAATTTACGTGATATGTACTATCGTTGACATCTGTAGCTGCAGGTGCTTGCCATCTCAAGATAAATGAGCCCAATGTAAGAACTATTGTAAAAGACCAAATGTGTAAAGCTATTGCTTTGTGGACATCAACAGAGGTGCAAACATCGCACATTTGCAAGTTACCTTTTTATCCCACATTGAAAATGCAGTTTTTATGTGCATGCAGGATATAACACATATAACATACAATGCATTAATCGGCTGTTCATATAGTGAATCTTTCTAAGGGGGCGGTCAAAGTTATATGTGGATTTTTAACTATACATCTCAACTCCGACGTTGTTCAAGGATCAATTATTTATTCTTAAATTTTTTTTTCTTAAGAAAAAAAGATAACGGGTCTTATCACTAATGACTTAGAAGATAAAGCTGATGGATCACTTTTAACAAAGAAAATATTAAATATTAATAATTTATACATTATCAAGGGTTCATGAGGAAGGGGGGAGCAGGGAGGGAGGGGGGAAAATGAGGAGCTGATACCAAGGGCTCAAGTAGAAAGAAAATGTTTTGAGAATGATGATGGCAACAAATGTACAAATGTGCTTGACACAATGGATGGATTGTGATGAGTTGTACGATCCCCCAATAAAATGATTAAAATAAATAAGCATACAAGTTCAAAACAAAATAAAAGAGAAAGAATAGTAAATCTCAGCATTACAGAATGATATAAAGTTTATTGTGCCAACCTGGCTGATAAACACAGGGGGGGTTATTGAAGGGCGGAGGAATAAATGGCTCAGTGAGCCTCACCTTTCTAGTTCTCGGGTCTCTTGCTTTCTGATGGTCGCACCAGGGTGCAGCTGCCTTAGCAGTTCCCTGCTTCAGCTGGCGAGGCTGACTTCCTGCAAGACATTTCCAAGGAGAAGCCGCATGGACATACCCCAATGCAGCCCTGGGTGCTGGAGCAGCTGTGTGGAGACCCCTGCCTGGGCTGAGATGCTTACACATTCACTGACTCGGCTTTCCTCCTGCAGTCAGCATCATTGCGTGTGTTTTGTGAGATGGAGGAAGACTTTGTGGATTGGCGTCGGACATAAGGGTTAATGTTGGACTTGTGGGCTTGGGCAGCACTGGGTTGGGGTGTTTTCTCGATGTGCACCTAACCTTTATATAAAACTCTCTCTTACACATATGAGTTTCTGTAGATTTGTTTCTCTAAAGTACCCAGACTAACACACAGAATATCGCTCAGGAATAGACTTGTTGGGCAGCTTGAGTGGTTATGAAAATTAGGTATTTGTTCATTTCCCCAAAACGGTGGACTTTCATGATTACTCAGTAATAAATGAACTTTTGTCTTTGCAAAAAAAAACAAAACACCCCAAACATTTGCTTCTACTTGAGCCCTTGGTATCAGCTCCTCATTTATTCCCCCTCCCTCTCTACTCCCTCCTCCCTCATGAATCCTTGGTAATTTATAAATTATTGTTGTTTTGTCATATCTTACGCTGTCTGATGTCTCCCTTCACCCACTTTTCTGTTGTCCATCCCCCAGAGAGGAGGTTATATGTAGATCCTTGTAATCAGTTCCCCCTTTCTACCCTACTTTGTTCCACCCTCCCGGTATTGCCACTCTCACCACTGGTCCTGAGGGGTTCATCTGTCCTGAATTCCCTGTGCTTCCAGTTCCTATCTGTACTAGTGCACATTCTCTGGTCTAGCTGGATCACGATAGTTGGGGGTAGGGTGGGGGAGGAAGCATTTAAGAACTAGAGGAAAGTTGTATGTTTCATCATTGCTACACTGCACCCTGACTGGCTCACCTCCTCCCTCCAACCCCTCTGTAAGGGGATGTCCAGTTGCCCACAGATGGGCTTTGGGTCCCCAATCTGCACTCCCACTCATTCACAATGATATGGGTTTTTGTTCCTTGATGCCTGATACCTGATCCCTTCAACACCTTGAGATCACCCAGGCTGGTGTGCTTCTTCCATGTGGGCTTTGTTGCTTCTGAGCTAGATGGCCGCTTGTTTACCTTCAAGCCTTCAAGACCCCAGATGCTGTATCTTTTGATAGCCAGGCACCATCAGCTTTCTCCACCACATTTGCCCATGCACCCATCTGTCCTCAGTGATCATATTGGGAAGGTGAGCACACAATGATATGATTTTTTTTCTTCTTTGATGCCTGATACCTGATCCCTTTGACATCTGGTGATCACACAGGCTGGGGCTTCTTCCATGTGGGCTTGGCTGCTTCTCAGCTAGATGACTGCTTATTTACCTTCAAGCCTTTAAGACCCAAGACGCTATATCTTTTGATAGCTGGGCACCTTCAGCTTTCTTCACCACATTTGCTTATGCGCGCATTTGTCTTCAGCGATTGTGTCAGGAAGGTGGGCATCATGGAATGCCAGTTTAATAGAACAAAGTGCTCTTGCAATGAGGGAGTACTTGAGTGGAAGCCCAATGTCCATACACTAGCTTAATACTAAACCTATAAATACATGCACCTAGATCTATTTCTCCATCATCATAAATAAGCATACTTACATATGTACATACCTGCATCTAGACCTCCACCAATGCCCTTTACCTCCTAGTTCTTTCCTCTATTTCCTTTTACTTTCCTCTTGTCCCACTATCCTGCTCAGCTTTTATTTGGGTTACAGTATTTCCTCTCGGTTACATTACCCTTGGTCAAGCCCTACCAGGCCTCTTATACCTTCCTCGCCACCAATTTTGGATCACTTGTTGTTCCCTTGTCCCTGAGTTTGTTAACGCCACTTCCAAAAAAGAAAATATTTTCTGGGAAAAATGTTCCTAGATGAAGGTATAATTGTCCCTGAATAGTCAGTCACCAATTTCCTTAAAGTCTTCCTTTCCTGAACTAAACTATGGGGTCTAAAAGATCCAGACTAGGATGGATAGGAAGAAGCTAGAGACATGGGTCAGCTCAATGAAAGGCACTTCTGAAGAGAGCTCTTCATCACTGGGAGCATCCCAGCATCAGGGGACTAGGTCTTCCTAAACAACAAGCAGGCCTATTCCTCCCCCAAAAGTTAATAAATATATTAAAAAGTAAACTTCATATGATTAAGTAATTATATGAAAGGCCTGGCACAATGACTGTCCTATAAGGAAGTGGAATCTTTCCCATTACGCTTAACCTAAGGGGTTGTGGTTGAAGCCACAGAAGATAAGCTTGACAGTCTGTTTCCCCAGAGAGCACAGCTGAGCAAAATGCTATGGGCTAGTTCAACTCTGTAACACCAGGGGTCTCCCTGGGTCAGAATCAAGGGTAAGCAACACCACCCACAGCTTGCCATTCTAAAATTCCGTGATCACATATATTGGATGTATTTTTCTGGAGGGGTAATTGGAACATTCTAGATTCTTCCAGAAGTTCACAAATCTTTTTGACGGGGGCCCATTGAGATACGAAGGCAACTGGAGGAAAGGGGGCACGTGATGCTTCTGATATCGGCATAGCTCTTCCTCTATTTGGAGTTTGCAGCTCTTTCAGGCAGTCACTGGTTTGGGCCTGATGCTGTCCACCACCGCAGAGAGGACTGCTCCTGCAGCCTTGGCTCCTTCCATCAAGGCATGCTCTACCTGCAAAGCAGATCCATTCACAGCCTGGTCAGTCATAGTCCTGTGCCCGTTTCCCTACCCCCAACCCTGTCTTACTGTTCCCCTTCAGGAATTGGCCTGAGTGGAGCCCTTTCTTAAAAGAGGAAGCAGGCTGTGTTTGCCTAGATTTCCCAAACCCCAGATCTGCAAGGGCCCAAGATAGATATCCAAAGCAGGCTTGCTTCCTTTCTCTGGGAGGACCAGGGCTCCTGTTTCTCAGAACTATTCTGTCCAGGGTCTTCCCACAGTGAGGCTCAGAAGCAAAGGATCAAAGAATTTCACAACCAACAAGACCCTCAATCTTTCCCACGGAGAATTGAAGAGCCAGAGAGAATTCACTTGGCCAATCTCATACAGTAAACTAAGAGCGTGCATTTAGATTTGGGCTTGGTTCTCATAATTCCTAGGCTTGGGATCCATGGTCAGTGCTTGATTCTGACTCATGGTGACACGATAGAGCTGACCAGAACTGCTCCCAAAGCTTTCTGAGCATGCAAAAAAGCATACAGGCTCCTCTTTCTCCTGTGGAGTGACTGTCAAGTAAATACCCTTTCTGTCAACAGCTCACCCACTGCGACAGCAAGGTTCCTTACCAAATCCACTGCCCTTAAGTCTACTCCAACTCATAGCTACCCTATACGGGGTCTTTAAACCTGCAAATCTTCAAGAAAGCAGAGAGCTTCATCTGTAGATAGCCTCATCTTTCTCCTGTGGCGAGGATGGTTGGTATCTTTACCAAAATAACAAGAACAAAACTGAAAAACCCAAGCCCATTGCCACTGAGTCAATTCAAGGCTAAATCTTTATGGGAACAGTCAGGTCTTTCTCCACAGGAGCAGCTGTTGGGTTTGAACCATGGACCTGTGGTTAACAAGTACCTCCATTCACTCACTACCACTAAGTTGATGCCAACTCATGGCGGACCTACAGGGAATCATGAGTCAACTTGATCGCAGCTAGCTCTCTGTCCAGGGGTTAGTACAGGTGAAAACGCTACCTGAACCATAAACTCCTATAAAGCTAGAAGGTCCAATTGGTACCACAAATGATGATGTCACTGACCCCTGTCCTGATCACTGACAAGATGACGACGCCTCACCCCTGAAAGCTCCACAAGAAACCCTCCTCAAAGCAAAGGGTGACGTACCTGCTGACTCCTGGACACGCCATATCTGAGGTCATTGACAAAGTGTTCACAGTTCCCTTCAATTAGGCTGTACTGCACGATCTTGTTAATCATCGTCTTTGCGCGCTGGATAATCTTGTCCACAGGCAGGGGCAGGTATGTCTCATCTAGCTTGTTGTTGACCTTCCAGGAGCAGCCATGCAACACATCTTCCAGATGACTGTATTTTACAATGGCCCGGTTGCTAAAGACAGAAGTGATGCTGCCAGCCTCAAATTCTTCACCTAGAGACCAATAACAAACCAACGTTGGAAAGTGGCTAGGAGCAATGCACCGAGCAGCGACTCACTCTAAGGTTTTAAGTAAACTGCTGCCTTTGGGACCTTTGTTTGGCCATCTGTAGAAGGCATGGAGGGGGCTAGGGTGCTGGACTAGATAACTATAAAGAACCAGTTTCCCCATGAAGGCTTTGCCCTATATGACTGCTCTCAACCCTCACAGGGAGGTTTGACTTACTAAACTTTATCAATACTTTCTAGGTGGCCCTAGAACACATTCAGTGTTCTACTGACTTGACTTTTAACTGGTCCTTAGATTAGAGTCTTGCTTTCCTAACCAGACGTCAGGGACCTTCACAAGTAAATGTGTCTAGCACCCTCTGTATCTCTTTGTGAGCTCCTGAGCACGGTGCCCCAGTTACATGATTATAGTGGGGTTTAAGCTGTCCGTGGCATATCTGCAGTGGTACAAAGAAGTCCCCAGAGGGCACCAAGCAGCTTCAACCCAGAGCAGGTTTGCTTTCATCTGCATTCAAATAATTGAGTCTCAATAACAGTTTTTCTTTTGTTTGATTTGAATGCAAGGTTCCACAGATTTTGAAGGGGAGCTGTAAAGTTATCATATTCCAATCACTAGTAATTACCAATGCATCTTGATTGCATGTTTAATCAATTACAAACTAAAGAAGTTGGTAAAAATCACCAATGTCCTCATCTTTTGCATTAGTGGTTGGTGGGTAAAGTTGAGTAATAGTTGTGTTAACTGCTCTTCCTTGCAGGTATATGATATTATCCTATCACCGAGAGTATTGTACTGCAGAATGGATCCTGAAATGTTCATTTCAACGATGAACGTGATGCTATTCCACTTCAATTTGTCATTCCTAGCATGGTAGATCACATGATTGACTGTCTGATTCAAAATGGCCAATAACAATCCATTTCAGCTCACTAATGCCCAGAGTATAGATTTTCTTTCTTTCTTTTAAAAATCATTTTATTGGGGCTCATACAGCTCTTATCACAATCCACACATACATCAATTGTGTAAAGCACACTTATGCATTCATTGCCCTCATCATTCTCAAAACTCTCG